AATAGTTCAAAATGCAATTTTTCTTTCTTTTTACACTGTTTTTACATTTCCTTCATTGTTATTCGATATGGTTGTAATATTTAAGTTCCTATTTTATCCCCATTTATAAATTGTACCCCCATCCCCTAAACGATGTAATAGCGTAAGACTTTATTTTCCGCAATTTAATGCTTTCAAATACAAATGTTAATAACTAGGGTGTGTATGGCAAGATAAAAATCAATCTTAGACAATCCTAATCCAAGACAAAATAATGCATGAAAAATAAACACTTGCACACTTACACCTCTAGGGTTAACTCCACTTGTTGCTTTGAGAAAATATTCATGTCCCTCGAACATGGGCATTTTAGCAAAGACCCTCGATAAAAGATCGTAGTCCCTCGATTACCCTCGATGTTGATTTCGGTAAATGATCTAGTCCCTAAAACAACATTGCTAAAACATCCCATAGGTTTCCTTCTATGACTATACAAACGTTCCACGCCCGTCCCGTTTACATCCAAAGATAGGGTTACTTATCAAATCAATGGTAAGATAACAATGTCAAAGGAAAGAGGAAATGAACATGAAAGACTTTTGAGTAGGTAGATTGTTCCTAGTTGCTTGCTCAATTTCAAAACCAAAATATCCTTGCTATTTTCAAAACAAACACAAACACTTTCAAAAAACATCTTTCAAACTTGAAAACATTTTCAAAAGATCAACACTTTGTATACATTCTTACGAACGAGAATCATTACAAAGTTTGCCTAAACGGTGGCATATTTACAAAATACTTTCAAAAACCACACAAAGCACATTTCCAAACAAAAGCAAGTGATCTAGCAAGTAACTAAGATCCCATGGAAAACCATGGATGAAAAGGGTGCTAATACCTTCCCTTTTCATAATCTACCCCCCGAACTCAAGAAAACATCTCAAAGGTCTTTCCTGTGCTTTTTCACCTTTCCTTTTGGATAAAAGAAAAGTCGGTGGCGACTCTTGCTATCCGTAACAAATGCAATCAAACACAAAACACCCAATTCAGTTCTCCCACCGTATCACAAGTATCTTTTGGTGTCCTCAAGATTTTGGGATTCTTTAGTATTCATGGTCAGGTTTTCCCCTTGAGGTTTTGGCGTAGGGAATAAAAATTGATGATACTCAATAGATTCATGGGGTGGAGCATACCCGTCTCGGAAAATGGCGTGTTCTTGCACATTAAGGTTCTCAATTGTAGCTTTTATAGGTCGGGGTCGAGCCTGGGCGTTTTCTTGAGGTGCAATGACGTCCTCAGTCCTGGCTTGTTGACCTTATTCCATTGTTGTAGCTAACTTTACACTTGCTTCGTGAGATATATCGATTTCATTCTAAGTATCTGGGAATCACCTTGTTGGACTATGGTTGAAAGTTTTCTGTGAGAGGAAGAGATATGAGTTTTATGCAAATGGATGAAGAATGAAAATGTATGAAAATGCTCGGGTATATAAGAAATTCATGGATATTCAATGCGATATAGACGTAGTATGAGGGTAGATGTAGGGGCACCCTATACAAGTTTAATGATACACGCGATGGTGCCCTACACTGACTCAGAGATGGAGACAGGCAGAAAATCCTTAAGGATTAAGGTAAATGAAAGATGATGAAGAGTCCCTACATGATATGGATGATGATATAGACGAAAGCCCTACGAGCTAAAGATAGTAGTGGATGAAGTGATAACCCTTGTGGGTTTGCAGATTGTAATGGGTTTAGTAAAAGGTATCCTTAGAAGGTAGGTTCTTAGTGCTGGCCTACATATATTCTACCCTCCCCATAAGGTGGTCTCCTTAAGGGTATCATGAATAACACTAGAGATAAAGGCATAAGGGCCTCCCTTAAGTGGAGTCTCTTCACAAACCAAAACATTTATCTCTAGGTCATGAAAGGTCTCATCATGAGTTTTTTGGTTTAAAGGTCGTACAAAGAGTCATAGATGACATTCCAAAGTCTTACTTCCCAACGGGATGTCTCTCGAGAGGTATTCCTTTTGTGGAGTTCCACTGACTCTAGGCAAAGTCGTCACATAAACTCATAGAGCTGATGTAACCCCTTGGCTAATAGACGAACCTTCTTTCTAAGGGTTTTTGAAAATAATTTTTTTTTGCAAAATTTAAACCCCATCACAGATATAATAATATGATAAAATAACAAAAGATAAATAAATGAATAAATAAACAAACAAATATTAAAACCCTAAAATTAAGAAAAACTCCAAAACCAAAAGACAAGGCTTCTAAACCTAGGGTTGAGTCCCCAGCTGAGTCGCCAACTGTTGCAACTGGTTTTTTAATCAGAGTTGTCACCCTTAATTTTTATCCTAAGGAAGGGAGTATAAAGGAATAACCCTAAAAATATCAGAGATTCTAGGTCTGACTCGGTTCTAGATGAGGGGAAGGTGCTAGGCACCCCTAATCTACCTTGTTCACAAGGATACTAGATTTAGAAGCGTAATCTTTTAGGAAAAAGGGTTTTAATTTTTATTAAGGGGAAAAGGGTTTTAATTTTAAATAGAGGGACTCACCATGACTTTTGATCGTGTTCCTATGTATCTTCTTAGGAGGAATCAGAGTCCTATTTCGTAGTTCACAGTTGGTTTGCATTTTTTAGGGATTACACAAATATTTTAATTTCCTCACACTTAGTCCGAGTGTGTGAGTAACAGAGATTTTTAACTAAGAGCGAGGTTAATTAAAAAATACTTTGTACTCCTTTTCAAAAATTAATTGTTTGAATTAATTTAATTTGCGAAAAATAATTTGATGTTTGTTTGAGTTTTTTTTTATGTGCTTAATTATGAAAATATTTTATTTAAATGCATGATTAGAAGAATAATAACTTAATGCAATAAACAGAAAATATTTTAATGAATTGAAAAAAAAAATTGATTTATAATAATGAATATTAAAATTATAATTATGTAAAATAGGAAATATAAAATAGTAAAATAAACTAAAATAAAATAAAGATTAAAAACGTAGGGGGTGTGAATATAGTTTGGAAGTAAAAATGGGGGGGGGGGGTGTTGAATAGGAGGGGCATGAATTCAGATAGTGAATTCAGGTTCAAGAGCGCGAGGGGTGCATTTTTGCATTACCAAGCATAATTAGGGGGGTGCGAGGAAATATAGGTCCAAGTCCAGATATTGGACTTGGCCCATTTGGCCAGGGGTGTACTCTTACATGTATTGGTAAAACGAAATTGGAAAGGGGGTATAGATAAGTAGTGGGCTAGGTCCAACACGAAGGATTTGGGAAGTCCGTTTAACTCTGGTGTGGAGGGCACACCGTAGTGCCATGGATGCATGCGTTTCTAATAGACGAACCTTCTTTCTATTTGTTTAGAAAAGATTGCAAGTAGAGGTTTTTCACAATATTTCGTCTATACGAACCGTGTTATTGGAAGTCAGATATGAAAATATATAATTGATTATGGAATGAATACAATAATCTGAATTAAGTATACTTCAATCAAGTAACAAGTTATCAATTATTTATAGCAAGTTACTAGTAACACTATTTCCAATGGCAATTATTGAAAGAACTAGCAAAACAATTTGTCGAAAACTTGGTGTGCAATTGAATTTTCAGAATTTTCCTTTGAGTTGTGTTGATACAAAAAGCACTTATAATCAAAAGTGATTATAAGAAATATCAACACTTGATTCAAAACAAAAGCAGTCCGGAAAAATTCCTACGAGTCAAGTGATTACACAATGCTATTAGACAAATTGATTGATGAAAATTAAATCAAGTAAAAGCAATAAGAAAAAGCACACAAGGATTTGTCTACACAGTTCCCCAGTTTCATCCTTGCGTGTGGCTACATCTACACCTAATTCCAATGGGATTAGGATGATTCTTACTATGCAAAAGTTGATACAAGAGAATTATTCCATGTGAAACCCTACAAATCCTAACCATTTGTTGTTGATTCAAACCCTTCTCTTCTTTTGATCTTGAGAAAGACCAATACATAATAGACCCTAATTGACTTATCGATATTGCTACTCCTTGACGTTCTTTTACTCCAAATATTTCATGCACGGTCAATTGTACCTATTGCAACACAAGACTTCAATTCGATTCATCGTTCTCGCGCTACTTCCTTTGTGTTCTTTATCTCCAAAGGCTTTCACTAGACCGTAATCCTTTCTTGAATGTCTTGCACGAAAACCCCCAAATTAACCAATGATCTTGGAGGACAAACCTGCGGTTTTTCCAGATGAAGGACCCAACAAATCTCAACCCAATATTTTCGACTACACAAGAATCTAATAAGATGTAATCAAACCTCGTCTAGATGGCACCCCAATAAAGCATTATTTTGATGAAGTGTTATAGTGTATGCATAGGTTAGAGGTGGAAGGTGAAGAGAAATTGCAGGAAATTTCATGGTATCATCAAGTTGGACTGATGCATGAATGATGTATTTATAGTTATGGAAGATTAGATGCAAAAAGGAGATTTTCGGAATTAAAAAGAATTGAAAAATTGACCCAATCAAACAGTATGTGTCAACCTGAAAATCGTATATGTCGACACATACGTTAATTTTAAACTGAATGTGTTGACCTAAAAGGATGGATGTGTCGACCGAAGCGAGACAATAACTTTTTGCTTTAAAAAAGCATTGTATGTGTCTACCTAAAATTCATATGTGTCGACACATAAAATAAGAATTTCTGCAATTTCAGAAAAGCTTCAGTATGTGTCGACCTAAGCCTTCCAGAGGCTATAACTTCAAAACTGAGTTGCATGTGTCGGCCTGAAATTCGTATGCGTCGGAACATGCAATGAAAAATTATGAAGAAACTTATTTTTCATCACTTAGTTTAATTTCAAAATGGTTTTTAATGATTCCTAAGACCTCTAAGTAAAGGAGTGCCAAAAGACATTGAGATAGTGTCCAACATACAAAAATGCTAAGTTTTCCTAGTTTTGACATAAAGCAAAACATCTAATGGTGAGGTTTTACTCACATTTTGAACCAAGTCATCATGGATCCCATGAGCCTCATTACCAAGTGCATGAACTTGACAACCCATTTAGTGTGGTAGTCATATATCTTATTGTCTACATGTTCAACATGCTCATATAAATCATCAGTTTCGTTGTAACCTTTCAGCTTTGGAGGTTTCTCTAGAGACCTTGGGATTTTACTATCGAGGATGCAAACAAATAACAACTTATTCTTTTTATTTAGAGCTAGAGCATTTGTATCATGTATTTACCTTCTCCGGGAATGATGTACCGGTGAACAATAAGGATTAAGTACTTTAGAAGAAGTATTTTCATCACTTGATCCTTCAGAATTGAGTGAAGAAGTTATATGTCCTCGGTGTCGGTTGGGAGCTAGTGATTTTATGATCTCACCTAGCGACACAACTATGCCAACATGGAACAACTCTAATATGACGACTTGGTTACCCTCTAAAGGTTGCATCCATAGGATGTTGTCCATTGGAGAAGTGTATTATAGGTTCTCTTCAATCCTAAGTATCATGTCAACCATGAGTTATGACTTTTATTGATGTACTAAGTCAAAGATGTTTTTTTAAAAGTCATTGGCTCATTGTACTCCATAATTTTCTTGCACCAATTGAATGCTTGGTAGTATTTGTTGTCAAGGTAAAATGGGTTGTGAAGGAGATCATGTTATGGTTTACCTTAGAATGATTATTGAATAGGTCTAAAGATTAGGATAGTTTGAACACACTGTGACCAACTCTTAGAGGAATGAAATATAATTGCATAAGGAAGATGAAGATGCCACTAAAATTGGATCGTATTTCACTAGAGAGGGTGAAGGAAGAAGTAGAGCTTTAACAACTTCAGTGGTCACAAATATTGCATGTCATTGGGCAGAATATCGAGTGAATTTAGATGTTACCATGCTTAATGAATCTGATAGTATATCTTATAGAGGAGGAGATGCTTCAAAAAAGAAGATCAGTGTTCTGGATCTTCGGTGTAAAAACAATGATTTTTTTGTGAAAATGAGCGGAAATAAGATGTCAATTCACACAAAATTGTCATTGTTCGGTTATGATCTAGAAATTAATGATAATATGGTGGAGTGGTGTCTCATTACGGCATAATAATAATGTGGAGTAGCGGGGAAAATTGTAAGGTTAGCACTCCAACGCCTAAGTCACTGAGTGAAATGAGAACTAATGCATGAGTAAGAATGGATTTGAATGTTTCAAATTTAGTATTTTCCCTTATATATCAAATGCGGTTGAAACTGTTCACGTTTGATGAGGCGTGTTATGAATATATTTGTATGATTGAATTGGACGTTTATTGATGTGTTGGAGAGCAGAATTGTCTACTTGTTATCAGAGTTAATGTCTACCTATTTTACACGACTTTCTTCTTGGGGTTTTCTCTCAGGCCTTTTGTCATGGGTCTTGTGAAGGACCCAGAACCAATTTAATAATAATAGTTAAATGTGTCATAGCTAAAAATTGTCATAAAAATGCCACTTTTGTATCTTTAAATGTTGTTTTAATAATTTATCTTTACAATTTTATCTTTTAATTAATATTAAACACATTTTTTTCAAGTTGTTATTATTTCCTTTTACATTTGTCATGATAAAAACAAATTACTAATTAATAAGAACAATTTATTAACACTATTATTATTTATCTTTGTGTTCTATTTGAATATTAAAAAAAAAAGAAGTAGGATGGAAAGTGTAGTGGTATATTTATAAAGTCCGCAAATGGGTTAGCATAGCGCATATCTTCATCAGGAATCCACCCTAGAACATGTCTCTTAAGCATATCCCCCACTCAGTTGGATACCCTCCATGAGGGGAAACATGGGCTATGATGTGTACACAACCTATAACTGCATGTGCAAGGAGTCTGGGTCACAATTTCCTAAAAAATGGACAATCAACAACTTTTCTAGTCAATATGGAACAATTGCCTCTTCTAAGGAGCACCCAAATCCAGGCCCATATGCATATATAAATACCTTAACTCTAGGTTTGATGGGAATTCTAGATATACATGAAATACTCCAAAAATATAGAGCTTCTCACCCCACGTGAGTTTTATCACAACTCACAAAAATCACCTCAAAATATGGCCTCTCACCATTGTGAGCTTGCCCTTGAATAACCTAAAATCCTTTATGTCTTTGACCACCCCTAACTGAAGGTGAGATAAACACAAGAAAGGGGAGGGGATTGAATTGGGTTGAACCAAATATAATCTTTTCACAACTCAAAACACAAAGATAACAAGTGAATAAATAATGGATGAACACAATTATTTTAATCCAGGTTCACTGTTAACTAAGTTACTCTATTCCACCTTGCAAGGTTACCTACCATATAAAAACTGACTTAATCCCCTATAATCACCAGATTACAGACAACTAAAATAAGTCTGATCAACCTTATTGGCACCCCTAATAAGTTTGTCGATCCTTATTTCTAATCCATTATGACCGCAGGCAAAGTCTTCTTGATAATCCAGACTCACAGAGGCTCTCAAGGAACCTATCAACAAACATTGATTATAAATATTTGTATACAAAGATTCTTCGAAAAGGAAGATTACACAATGTTTAAGTACAACAACACAAACTTGTTGATAGCAAGAGATGAACAAAAGCTCCATGCTTATTTACAAAACTATATAAAGAATTTATCAAAAGAGTTTGTGCAGCGGTTTGGTGTAGTTTTGTAGAATTGATTCGTTGATTCCAAATTCTTCTATGTCTTCCTTTTATAGTTGTAAATGAGATACGTTGGAGGGTAGAATAGGAAACACAAATATAATTGTTTTATTCTCAACAATCATGGTGGGATTGGTAGATAACAAGTTCAAAAGGTCCATTATGACACCACCAGAGGCGAGTAGGTGTCACAGAGTAATTTGTTCTTTTATACTCACCATCACATGTAATTCCTAGTCTTGATATTTGTATTCTATATCTTCAGAGGCTTCTAATTTGTATGTTGATGAAGCATGTTGTAGAAGGATCATAACCTTGTATTTTCAAATCCTAAGTATTTGAGTCTTCAAAGCTTGTTCCGTGAACTATTGCCTTCAGAGTCTTCAGCACTTGGTCTTTAAAAGAATGTCTTCATATCTATAGAACTCGTTCAACAGAACCATGTCTTCAGCATCTTTAGAACTTGGAACAACAAAACTAAAGCTTTAGAAGGCCTTTAAAGCTTCCTTACAAAAGTAACGATCAGAAGCTCTTGTACTAGCGTTCCTTAGAACCTTTGCATAAGAAGCATTCCAAAATATTGACTTTAACTTTGTAACACACCAAAGGTATTATTTCAGAGTGTTGATTTCAGATCCTGATGATGTCACACACATTCTTACCAGAGTCAGAACCTATTTAGCAAAAGCTACACACTAGATAGAAACCATTAGAGTACAAAATTGTTCTCTAAGATAACATGTGAAGTTATAATCAAAACATAAGGCCAGATGTAGAGCCAATCTTGTTCTTACAATCTTCCCCCTTTTTGATGATGACAAAACCATGTATTTTGATAGAAAAATTCATATATGGTAATCACCATAAAATGAAAATTCTGAAAAGCTAACCAGTTACCATGAATCTATTAATACCAAATAATATCATTTATGCTTGTTCAGAGTCTCCCCCTGAGCCCAAGACTCACAAAATGAATTTTGCAGTACAGAAGGTAACATATAGAAGGAATACTTCTCCATTGATGTGTGGTCTTCATCTTAGAACCTGACTTACTTCCAGAACCCTATGAAGTATCAGAACTTGTTTAAATACTATTTTGATGGCTCATATCAAACATCAAAACTAATTCACGGGTTCCTCCAAATACTTTTATGGTGCCATCATAAGGTGCAAAACATCATGTCATCAGAAGGTTCAACACCTGAACCATTACCTGACTAACCATGTCTTTTGAACATGTCTCCTGACCATGTCTTAGACCATGTATTAGAACATGTCTCAGACAATGTCTTAAATCGTGTCTTAGACCATGTCTTAGACTGTGTCTTTAGACCTTGTCTTAGACCATGTCTTTATACCATGTCGTACACCATGTCTTAGACCATGTCATTAGACCATGTCTTAGACCATGTCTTATAACATGTCTTAGAACATGTCTTAGACCATGTCTTAGACAATGTCTTAGACCATGTCTTAGAACATGTCTTTAGACCATGTCTTTAGAATATGTCTTAGACCATGTCTCTTGACCATGTCTTTAGAAGGTTCACAACCTCTAAACAATGCATGGTTAAAAGCAGACTTACTACACTTCCAGAAGTTTTCAACTTCTAAATCATCAGAGTCTGGGTTATCAGAATCTGGTTACAAAACTTTCAGATAGTTTACAACTTTTAAGAAATTTCTTGATAACGGAGCAAATGTTGCCAAAGAACACGTTGAAATTATTTCAGATAGTTCATGAATTCTGAAACAAATGCTTAGTAACACATCAACATTGTCTTGCTTCCAGAAAGTTCACAACTTTTGAAGCATCAAAGACTGATCACCATATCTTAAGAAAGTTCGCAACTTCTAAACAATAGGTGTTGTCAAGACATGATTACCTTACTTTCAGAAAGTTCACAACTTATGAATAGTGTGGGGGTATCAGAGCTTGATTAACCATATTTTCATAAAGTTCATAACTTTTGAACCATAGGTGTTATCAATACATGATTACCTTACTTTCAGAAAGTTCACAACTTCTGAATAATAGGTGTATCCGAGCTTGATTTTAACCATATTTTAAAGTTTGCAACTTCTGAAACATACATTGTATCAAAGCCTGTTTCACCTTTTGACTTGATAAGAAAGTTCACAACTTATGACCAATACATAGTTATCAGGACATGATTCATTTTTAGACAGTTCACAACTTTTAACGAATACATGTTCTTAGATGCTTAGAACATCATAGCCTACTCATACATTTAGATCTTGTCTTTTGAATGCTAGATGATAATCTTCTGATAGCCAATTAACCATTCTATAAAAATTAGTGAACTTTCACAAAGTTCTTGAATCAAACATCAAACATATGTTTAATAGAAAAAGCGTTATATCATGTTTGGGTTTGAGATCTTGAGAGTAAATACTATTAAAATCATATACTCTTTCTCCCCCTTTTTCAGAAATCAAAAAGACTTAAAATAAAAAAGAAATATCTCATTTTATATAAAAAGAATGTAGATGTCTGAGGTAACTTCATGGAAATGAACATTAGGATATGTTAGCACATACTATATTGAAGCAAGAATATGAATAAAGAGCGAATAACACAAAATAAATTTTATTCATTGAAGGGAAAAAAGGATTACAAACACGATACAACCAAGGGAAGACAACAAAAAGAAACAACACCAAAGACACAACATAAGAATCAAGAGAGTTAATCACCCAACCAACTACACCTTATGAACTTCACATATTTCTTCCAAAAGAGCATCG